CTCTGAATCTACCTGTCCTCAGAATCTACCTGTCCTCTGAATCTACCTGTCCTCTGAATCTACCTGTCCTCAGAATCTACCTGTCCTCTAAATCTACCTGTCCTCAGAGTCTACCTGTCCTCTGAATCTACCTGTCCTCAGAGTCTACCTGTCCTCTATGTCTACCTTTCCTTGGAATCCACGCAAGTTCAGCACAATTAGATCAATGAGAGCTGGTGAACTGTCACAGCTGGGGTCAGTGGATGGTGTTGGGGGGAACAGTTAATGTACCGTGTGTGGAATCGAATCCGGACTAGATGACATCCCTTTCGGACCTGTACTCCCCCACCATTCTGAGCCGAACTAGTTCAACTACAACAATGATCAATATTTTGATTAATCGACATCGTGAAGTTAATCAGATACAGCCTCGTGTCATCTTTCTGCGGATTCGTCATTTGAATCAAAACATTTCATTTACACAGATTTTCAAACAGTGACTTGAAGCAACGCCATAAGGCAATAGAAGCAAGATTTAATGAAGTATTGAACCAATATATTTGTCCTCAAACACAATTCAATTCAAACCCAAGCGAGATCCACTCTACCAGACTCCATCGCACTTGTTGCGCGGACATTTCCAGTCTGACCAATCAACAACCACCTGATGCATGTGCATGGACATTTCAACCAATTAGAGACAAGGAGACACGAAGCAAACATCTCGCGAAGACAAAAGCACGGAATTCAATACAATTCCGAGACGGCAACACGGCTTATTGGGATTGGCGTTGAAGACAGATTTGGGGTTTGGCGGTATTTCAATAGAGGTATTTGTGTTATTGAACACCGCGCTCGTGCTGCGCTCGTGATCCACACGGATCAACCGTCTTCTCGAACAGATGTAGAAGATCGACTTAAGCCAGATTTGATCTTCCCCTTCCATGTCCAGCGTCAATGATGCTAATTTGATTGCGGAGACCGGGAACGATGTACATCGACCACGTCTCATCCGACAACCCCTAGTTACACTGGCGTCAAGACCGTCCTGCTGGTTTACATGCAACTCAAACTTTGGGGTGTCGGGTTCAGATTTAAATCCACTGGCCGTAGATTGCAATTATCTTTGCAAAAAGATTAAAACGATGTGGATACTTGACTCTCTGTGACTAATTGAAAAAGGTAGGATGTCAAACCTCGAGGGTATTTTGTTTCTTAAGGGTTTCATTGTTGGTCGATTTTGTTCCATTTCATCTTTCAAATGGGATATTTGATATATCTTGTAGAGTTGGGGATGGTTATTCATTTGGTAAGTAATTTGGTCTGTTCCTGCATGACCAATTGAAAATTAAAATGGACACTTGGCATCATACTTGACCTTACAGACTCTTGAAGATCCGGGTTAGAATAGGTCTTCAGTAACCCATGCTTACCGTAAGAGGCGACTAACGGGATCGGGTGGTCAGGCTCGCTGACTTTGTTGATGCATGTCATCTTATGCCAATTGCGTTGATCGATGCTCATGATGTCAATCACAAGTTTGTCTGGCCCAGACTCAATTATTTGCAGACCGCCGTCATATAGCTGGAATATTGCTTAGTGCTGCGTTAAACAAACAAACAAACAAACACACTTCTAGGACGTGGGTGCCTGGTTTACACGAAATCGATGCTGAACTAAATAACTGATTTAACAACTGGTGAGCTAGTATAATGTTTGTGTTCTAGTATTTCTCTGATTTTATGTTGGACGATCCGACTGATCTCGGACCTTCTCCTAGACCTTTTGACGAAGTACTCATGGCCTGAAACAAAATGGCGATTTGATGCCATAAATCTTAAATCACTCCACGCTGATAGATTCCATACAAATGAAATTTGGGTCGATTTTCGTTTCATCTTAGTTGTAGACCAATCGTACTTTTCCACAACCCATAGTCAAGCAGCATGGGATTTCATGTAGATGTAAATTGAAAACATGAATTCGGGGACAAAACCGTAATTTGTTTTCTTACGATTAGATTTAGGTCGATTCCGTTTTATCTTGTCTCGTGAGTGATTCTAAATTCCTGATTTCAGAACCCTACCCGCTCAGCTGTCTCTGAAATAGTGTTGATGAGGTGTCCAAACTGTCTTTCAATCTTCTCATGCAATAGATTTCAATTCCAGTTAGTATATTGTCCATTTGATCAGGAGGTTCAGATGTGACAGCCCTGTGTTGTTGAATTGATGCATTACTGCAGTCTTAGATCGCTCCTCAATTTCGTGATCTCCAATACAAAATGGAAGTTACTACCACGGCGAGATGCAGGAACACTCAAAAACTGTGATCGATGAACGACCAAAAACGAATTAAGAATCGGTGATCTGATAAACGAGAGAAATACGCCATGTTTAACGCGATTCTATCGAATCTGTTCGCCACGAGCTAGGTCGGATTATTAAGTCCGCGTAAACAGAAAAATTGCCCATAAATTTGCATTAAATGAATTCGCACGTTGATTGGTAAGAAATCAGTACTCCCTGTGGGTATTTAGACAGGATGACATGTATTGCTTGGACGTGGCAGTGTCGCACGTACGTGACGTCGGCGTGAATAAACTTGTGTGATTGTGCACATTTGCAGAAAGAGAATAAACACAAAGATACAAAGATTTAAGAAATTTGAACAGTGCAATTTGTCGAGGTCCGCTTGCACACTGTCCTGTTTGACAGTTGAAGATCGAACCATGACGTGCACGTGTAATACATGTTCGGGAACAGCTGTGTACAGCGACACACAAAACGCTAAATCGACATTCTGACGTGTACACCTATGCTATTCTTACTCATCTTGGTGGCTGATCGCTAACACACAACATTTGGTAGTAAAAGCCCGGGACATTGCATTCGATATTCCACATACCGTACAGCCTTTAATAAAAGCCCGGGACATTGCATTGGGTATTCCACATACCGTATGGCCTTTAATAAAAGCACGGGACATTGCATTGAGTATTCCACATACCGTACAGCCTTTAATAAAAGCCCGGGACATTGCATTGAGTATTCCACATACCGTACAGCCTTTAATAAAAGCCCGGGACATTTCATTGGGTATTCCACATACCGTACATCCTTTATTAAAAGCCCGGGACATTATATTTGGTATTCCACATACCGTACAGCCTTTAATAAAAGCCCGGGACATTGCATTCAGTATTCCACATACCGTATAGCCTTTAATAAAAGCCCGGGACATTGCATTGAGTATTCCACATACCGTACAGCCTTTAATAAAAGCCCGGGACATTGCATTGAGTATTCCACATACCGTACAGCCTTTAATAAAAGCCCGGGACATTTCATTGGGTATTCCACATACCGTACATCCTTTATTAAAAGCCCGGGACATTATATTTGGTATTCCACATACCGTACAGCCTTTAATAAAAGCCCGGGACATTGCATTGAGTATTCCACATACCGTATAGCCTTCATTAAAAGCACGGGACATTGCATTGAGTATTCCACATACCGTACAGCCTTTAATAAAAGCCCGGGACATTGCATTGGGTATTCCACATACCGTACAGCCTTTATTAAAAGCCCGGGACATTATATTTGGTATTCCACATACCGTATAGCCTTTATTAAAAGCTCGGGACATTATATTTGGTATTCCACATACCGTACAGCCTTTATTAAAAGCCCGGGACATTATATTTGGTATTCCACATACCGTATAGCCTTTATTAAAAGCCCGGGACATTATATTTGGTATTCCACATACCGTACAGCCTTTATTAAAAGCCCGGGACATTATATTTGGTATTCCACATACCGTATAGCCTTTATTAAAAGCCCGGGACATTGCATTGAGTATTCCACATACCGTAAAGCCTTTATTAAAAGCTCGGGACATTATATTTGGTATTCCACATACCGTACAGCCTTTATTAAAAGCCCGGGACATTATATTTGGTATTCCACATACCGTATAGCCTTTATTAAAAGCCCGGGACATTATATTTGGTATTCCACATACCGTATAGCCTTTATTAAAAGCCCGGGACATTATATTTGGTATTCCACATACCGTACAGCCTTTATTAAAATCCCGGGACATTATATTTGGTATTCCACATACCGTATAGCCTTTATTAAAAGCCCGGGACATTATATTTGGTATTCCACATACCGTACAGCCTTTATTAAAAGCCCGGGACATTATATTTGGTATTCCACATACCGTATAGCCTTTATTAAAAGCCCGGGACATTGCATTGAGTATTCCACATACCGTTCATCCTTTATTTAAAGCCCGGGACATTGCATTGGGTATTCCACATACCGTACAGCCTTTATTAAAAGCCCGGGACGTTGCATTGAGTATTCCACATACCGTTCATCCTTTATTTAAAGCCCGGGACATTGCATTGGGTATTCCACATACCGTACAGCCTTTATTTAAAGCCCGGGACATTGCATTGGGTATTCCACATACCGTACAGCCTTTATTTAAAGCCCGGGACATTGCATTGGGTATTCCACATACCGTACAGCCTTTATTAAAAGCCCGGGACCTGGCCCTAACAAGAAGCCGGCTTTGATTTCTTCCATACCTGTGTAGATCTCCTGTATCAAGACCTAAAGGTATTCAATTTAGATCGGGTGAGTTGGCTTTAACGCTGCTTTTAACAGTATTCCATTTATATCATGGCATGTCAGCTTAATGTGGGAGGAAAGCCCAAAGTGATGCAGGTCTCAGACGTTTACCACTTCGGTGAAACCCACGAGTCTGGGTATGGTGCTAACAAACCTAGAAACATAATCGGGGCGAACCGGGATTCGAACCCACAGACGCCTTAGACGACTGGGCCACCGTGCCCCAGTTAATCAACGAGTGTAGAGTAATAGTGATTTCGATGTGAACATCGGACTATGGATATGACGAACATATTGTCAAGGCCTCTCTGAGTTCGTTATATCCAGGATTATTACTACTCATGAACTGAGATCCAGCGTTCGTAATAGCCATACCTGCATAGTCGCTTGAAGAGGTCATGGTAGGTTTCCGTGCCGTACTTGATGCCCCGCAGTAGAGACAGGGGGGAGTCCGGCTTAACGCTCTCCTCCATGTCGAGGGTGTTCAGATCTGTCCACGTCACCCATCGGAAAATAGCCCTGAAGTGCCAAGGATGGATATATTCTGAATGCATACGGTATTTATAAAACCTGTCAAGTGTATACATGTCTAACGCGTCTATATGTGGATTTGATATTTACGATATATTTCGTATACCAATTGTAACATTAGGATGGTGTGGGTGTGAGTGGGTGGGAGGTTGAGTGTAGACGGGGAAACGCAAACAGTTTCTGAGGAAGAATCAATGGGGAAATGAGTGTAACGTAAAAGCTATCGTGAAAGACAGGGGGCCAGTGACAGAAGGTTACATGCTTTTAATTTATTCCGATAGTGAGTGAGAGTATAGTTTTACGCCGCTTCTAGCAATATTCCAGCAATATCACGGCGGGAAACACCAGAAACGGGCTTCCCACATTGTACCCATGTGGGGAATCGAACCCGGACCTTCGGCGTGACGAGCGAACGCTTTAACCACTAGGCTACCCTGCCGCTCCTTTTCCGAAAGTGTACTGTCAAGATTTCACTTTTGAAACGAACACAACTAGCCCATTTAACACGGAAAGTACGTGCATTATAATGTGTACGTATATGGCATAAGTGCATTCCACGTGACCAAACGGCGACGTTTCATTGGACAGTTGTGTTTCAATGTCCATTGTTGCCCTACTTCCGGCGATCAACTACCAACCTTGTCTTCTCCAGGTCCGTCTCACACTCCACGATCAGGTCCTTCACGAGATTGGTGAACGTTGTGTAGCCCTCCTTTGCCACCTGACAAAACACAACGGTGAAAACAGATCTGTAAGTCGCAAAGTCTTCACAAAAGTAATCACTTATCCCCCGGTTGTGATTTATCCATCTTGCACCTATTGCTTCAGACTGATGTAACCTCCTTTATCCAGGAATATCTGTTTAGTGTTCACAGATCGGCATTTTCCAGAACCCGGATGTAGCTAAATCCATCAATTCCACAATTACGATTTCGAAATCAATTTGTTGGCCTTTTCCAGGCGAAAAATACACTGTCACTGTCCGTCTTCTTTATGGTGGTTGTGAAATGGGGTTTAACGTCGCGTTCAAGATTATAGTACTTCTATAGCGACGTTCATGCATGTGTGGGGGGCACGGGTGGCCCAGTCGTCTAAGGCGCCGCGATTCGCTGTGCAGTGTTGTTTCCCTTGGGGAAATCTATGATTGTGGGTTCGAATCCCGGTTCGCCCTGATTATGTTTCTAGGTTTGTCAGCACCATACCCGTGCTCGTGGGTTTCACCGAAGTGGTAAGCTGACACGCCGCGTTATAACTGGAATACTGTGTGTGTGTGTGTGTGTGTGTGTGTGTGTGTGTGTGTGTGTGTGTGCTTGTAATGGCCCTGGCTAATGCCGATTTTATAGTGCTAGCTCACTGAGATACCATGTCGCAGTTAAACATGAATACCCCACTCAGACACGGTATACAGATCAGTCAGTGTTTTAGCCCCTTAATGCCGAGGGCCAGGCAGGGCAACAACAAGTACTATCTTTTGGCATGACGTGGCCGGGGATAGAACCCACACCTTCCACTCTCCGGGTGGACGCTCTATCATTAGAACACGGAGGCGGTCTGAATCTTAAATTACCAATTTATCTTAGAGAGTTTATCGTCGCATTGAACAATATTTCAGTGCTGTCACGACGTGTATGCTTGATGCTGTTTGTTTGTTTGTTTGTTTGTTGTTTAACGCCGCACACAGCAATATTCCAGCTATAAGAGGGCAATCCAGCATCGATCTACGCAATTGGGATACGATTACATGCATCAACCAAGTCAGCGATCCTGACCACCCGATCCCGTTAGTCGCCTCTTACGGCAAGCATAGTCCCCTCTTACGGCAGGCATGGGTTGCTGAAGACCTATTCTACCCCGGATCGTCACGGGTGGTCTGTTTGATAACGACTATCGAATGAAAGCCCGAAGTGATGCAGATTTTAGACGTTTATCATTTCGGTGAAAGCCACAAGCACGGGTATGGTGCTGACAGACCTAGAAATAAATTTGGGAATTCGAACCACGATCATTCTTTGCGGTGCCTTAGACAACTGGGGAACCTGTATTTCCCCTCCCCATTAATTTGAGAACAGGGACTGGTGACCGAGTCAGCCCGCGATACTCACATCTAGAACATGGTTGTCCAGCTTCTCAAAGATGGTCGGACTCTTGAAGAGTTGGGCCTTCTTGAACTCCGGAGGTGACACGGGTGGGGGGCGGGACAGGTCGATGGTGGGTGACCGGTCCTCGGAGTCAGGGGAGCTCCGGTCCTGTGGAACAGAGGGCTACTTCAGTCTCTGGGCAGCTCCACGACAGACAACATTCTACTGTTCTATACACTGTCTACTGTTGAGACTACGTTAACATTTGATTAATAAGGGAGCATTGTTATATTTTGGTCCTCCAAATCTGCCCAGTACTTCTCTATGTACAATAGCAATATTACCAACGGTCCTCGAAATCGGGGTACGTCGGCACAAAACCAACCCTATCTGTGAACCTTACCACCCGATCCCTATTGGCTTCTGCTAATGGTGCAGTACAGGGCACCTGCAAGAATAGGCTGCACCCAGACCTGACCACCCGATCCCTATTGGCTGCTGCTAATGGTGCCTTACAGGGCACCTGCAAGAATAGGCTGCACCCAGACCTGTCTCCGCCACATAATAATCACTCAATCAGTGATCGACCATTTAAAATAAGATACATTCTCAGCCACTGCTTCAAGACATTCACCTGTTCACTCAGGAAGGAGCCGATCAGTAGCGTGTCTTCACAACACGTGTTTCAGGACAACCAGTATGTCTAGCTAACAATGTCTTAATGCTACTCGTAGTGTTAAGGTTTTGACGGGACCTGTGCCCTGTTGTACAAAGCGACCTTAGGGCTGCGACTATCGTAAGTTTGTTTAGAGTATGTGAGTTACGAGTAGAGTGTGTGAGTATGATTTTACGCCGCTGTTATATCAGCAATATCACGGCAATATCCAGAAATGGGCTTCACACATTGTACCCATGTGTGGAATCGAACCTGGGTCTTCGTCGTGACGAGCAAACACTTTAACCACTAGGCTACCCCACCGTCTCTTGCGCTGGTGGACCCTTCTCCATAAAGGGGTCAGATCACTAGACGTGCTGTGTAGTAGCACGCACTCTGCATGCTTAGCAAATGTATTCGGATTAGTCACTTTTGTAATACGGACCCTCCACTTTTGTAATACGGACCCTCCACTTTTGTAATACGGACCCTCCACTTTTGTAATACGGACCCTCCACTTTTATAATATGGACCCTCCACTTTTGTAATACGGACCCTCCACTTTTGTAATATCGGCCCTCCACTTTTGTAATACGGACCCTCCACTTTTATAATATGGGCCCTCCACTTTTGTAATACCGGCCCTCCACTTTTATAATATGGGCCCTCCACTTGTGTAATATCGGCCCTTCGCTTTTGTTATACGGACCCTCCACTTTTGTAATACGGACCCTCCACTTTTGTAATACGGACCCTCCACTTTTGTAATACGGACCCTCCACTTTTATAATATGGACCCTCCACTTTTGTAATACGGACCCTCCACTTTTGTAATATCGGCCCTCCACTTTTGTAATACGGACCCTCCACTTTTATAATATGGGCCCTCCACTTTTGTAATACCGGCCCTCCATTTTTATAATATGGGCCCTCCACTTGTGTAATATCGGCCCTTCGCTTTTGTTATACGGACCCTCCACTTTTGTAATACGGACCCTCCACTTTTATAATATGGGCCCTCCACTTTTGTAATACCGGCCCTCCACTTTTATAATATGGGCCCTCCACTTGTGTAATATCGGCCCTTCGCTTTTGTTATACGGACCCTCCACTTTTGTAATACGGACCCTCCACTTTCATAATACGGACCCTCCACTTTTGTAATATGGACCCTCCACTTTTGTTATACGGGCCCTCCATCCCCGTGACGGCAACTTACATCAACAGTGGACAACCTCTCCGCAATCATCAGCAACATCTCCTGGCTGTGTTTCTGGATCAGCCGGGCCACGTGCTGCCTCTCCTCCACCGACATCTTCTCAATCAGCCTCTTCATCTTCTCCTCCCTCTTCAGCTTGTAGTGTTCCTCCAGGCGCTCCGTCTCCTTCGCCAGCCCGCTCTTCCCCTTCTGGGGGGAGAAGCGCTCCAGCGTGGAGACCAGGTCCCTCACCGAGTTGTCCTTCTCCACCTTCAGCTCTTCCTCCAGACGCTTCACCTTCTTCTGCCTCTCCATCTTCAGGGTTGCGTACAGCTCGTCCTCCTCCTTCTTCTGCTCCCCCTCCAACTCCAGCTGGGCGTCGAACACGCCACACTTCTCGTAGTCCTGGAACAGACAATCCATTGATTGACATCATGCGCATTGATCTATGCTTTGTTTGTTTGTCGTTTAACGCCGCACTCAGCATTATTTCAGCTATATGACGGCGGACCGGAAATAATCGAGTCTGGACCAGACAATCCAGTGCTCGACATCATTAGCATTGATCTATGCTTTGTTTGTTTTTCGTTTAACGCCGCACTCAGCATCATTTCAGCTATATGACGGCGGTCTGGAAATAATCGAGTCTGGACCAGACAATCCAGTGAATGATGTCACGAGCATCGATCTACGCAGTTGGAATCGATGACATGCATCAACCAAGTCAGCGAGCCTGACCACCCGATCCCGTAAGTCGTCCCTTATGACAAGCATAGTCCCCTGTTGCGACAAACATGGGTTGGTGAAGACCTATTCTAACCCGAATCTTCACGGTTTGAAAATACCATTGATTGAGAGATTTCTAGGGTGGGTGATTGGTTGAGTGAATAAGTGAATGTCATGGCACGTCAGTAGACTATAGTAATATGAAGGAATCAAAAGGTCCTTAACTTGTTTTGAGTAGCATATAAGATTTGTGAGAGTGAATAGCAGAGTGAGTGAGTGTGTGATCAGATCAGAGGTCAACAGCGCGAACACCGATCAACGTCTTACATCCAAACATCCAGCCGCATTCATGGTCGTGTCAGGATCGTGACGACGATCATATGATCCAGGTTGATGGAGTGGGTAGCTGTGTTTCACGCCTGGAGAATCAGCCCAAGCCCATGGGCGACAATGTACACCATTCAACAATCGAACATTTTACGCATTTTGAAAATATGCAATTTAAATGATTATGATCTTTCAACAGTAATGGCATGACACTTCAGTACTGTCAGCTATGAGAGTTTCTTTGTAAATTATGTGAAGCCTATTTCCGCCGTGATATTGCTGGAATATTGCTAAAAGCGGCGTAAAATCGTACTCACTCACTCACTCACTCACTCACTCTTTGTAAATTAGCCCGACACTGTCCTGACAGCTGTAGCAGTTTCATCCCAACGACTGTACGGAAATATGTCTGTGATGTGCTGAATTCTGAAATATGTCGATCTTTTTCTAGTTTAAAATGGCCAACAAGTGTTGAATGGCAAACACGTTGAGAGTCTTTAAGACGACTTGTCTTCCTTCTCCTCAGTGTGGGTGTGTGAGGTGTGTGAGGTGTGGGTAATGTGTCGGTTGTGTGCCGGTAGTGTGTCGGTTGTGTGCCGGTAGTGGGTCGGTTGCGTGTTGGTTGTGTGCCGGTAGTGTGTCGGTTGTGTGTTGGTAGTGTGTCGGTAGTGAGTCGGTTTGTGTCGATAGTGTGTCGATAGTGTGTCGGTTGTGTGCCGGTAGTGTGTCGGTAGTGTGTCGGTTGTGTGCCGGTAGTGTGTCGGTTGTATGTCGGTAGTGTGTCGGTAGTGTGCTACTCATGTGTCACAGTGAGACAGGTACTCACGCTGTAGGTTCCCGTCGACGTCTTCTGCTTGCCCCTCAGGAAGATCTCCCTGTAGTGGGCGAACTCGAGCGCGTTGGCGTCGTACTGCCATCCCGGGTTGTAGACGCTGCCGCGAGTCTGGAACACAAAACATACAGGTTAGAGGTGGTCCCTCGACACAGGGGTGAGATGACACTATAACACAATGACACAACACAGGCGCTAGAGGGCACTATAACACAATGACACAACACAGGCGTCAGACGGGCACTATGACACAACACAGGCGTTGGACGGGCACTATAACACAATGACACAACACATGCGTTAGACGGGCACTATAACGCAATGACACAACACATGCGTTAGACGGGCACTTTAACGCAATGACACAACACAGGCGTTGGACGGGCACTATAACACAATGACACAACACAGGCGTTGGACGGGCACTATAACACAATGACACAACACAGGCGCTAGACGGGCACTATAACACAATGACACAACACAGGCGTTGGACGGGCACTATAACACAATGACAACACAGGCGTTGGACGGGCACTATAACACAATGACACAACACAGGCGTTGGACGGGCACTATAACACAATGACACAACACAGGCGCTAGACGGGCACTATAACACAATGACACAACACAGGCGTTGGACGGGCACTATAACACAATGACAACACAGGCGTTGGACGGGCACTATAACACAATGGCTAAGTGAATAGATTTAAACAGAATTTAAATTATATCACGTCATGTCAGCTTAATGTGTGTGTCGGTGTGTCCGTCTTTCTGCATGTGTGTACGCGTGTGATTGTGCGTGCGGGCATGTCTTGCAATATTCCAGCTATATCATGGCGGCCTGTAAATAATCGAGCCGGACCGGACAATCGAGTGATTGATATTGTGAGCAACGATTCACAACGTCGTGGTACGATGACACGAATCAACAAAGTCATTGAGCATGGCCGCGTTGTCCATTAGTCACCTCTCACGACACCACGTGCTGCAGGGGACCAATTCTAACCCGGAATCCCCACGAGGGTGTTGGGGGTGGGGGTGGGGGTGAGGGTGGGGGTCAGGTTGTGGGTGGGGGGTCATGACCATCACGATAAGGGATTCTGTTTGTCTGGTATTTCAATTTGTCAGTTGACAGATATTCATCTAGTTCCAGACAACTAGATCCTCCATCCGCTCTATCTGTACATATTTATATCCGGCCGTGTAATCTGAGGATGCATTAAGCTCCACATAACGCCGGTGAACGAGACCCGCGGTACAGGTAAAGTTACATCAAAGAGATAGGTGCCCTCGTGAGAGCTGTATAGTTTGCTGTGAGGAGCTTTACGGTCGTTGGAGGTCACGCTGTCTGGCATCATCACGCGATCGGCCATACATTCTACTCTCGCGATACACACATTCAACTCTCGCGATACACACACGGCTACGGCGTTGTTCTGATTGGGGACGAATCAGATACAAATCAGGAATTAAAGACGATTTGCAGTACTTCATTTCCCTAACCACCCTCATTCTTTATAACCTCAGAAACCTGAACTTGGTACACCAGTACAAAAACAGCTCGTGTAATACATGCACAGCAAGATGGCACGAGGCAATAACAATTGATTGTGATTGTATCGTAAGAACTTTTCTCAATTTTCAACGATTAAACTTTAAAATGTGAAAACAATTTACGGTATTTTTCAGGTTTGGGACACGTGTAGTGGTACTCGTTAAAAATGTATTTTCACATCTAAAAATGAACATTTCAAAATGTAGTGAGTGATTATTGCTTTACGCCGCTTTTAGCAATATTTCAGCAATATCACGGCGGGGGACACCAGAAATGGGCTTCACACATTGTACCCACGTCGGGAATCGAACCCGGGTGTTCGGCGTGACGAGCGTACGCTTTATCCACAAGGCTACCTGACCACCCCTCATTATATAGTTCAATACTTCTCCAAGTTGGGAATTACATTGTGGACATACTCTCAAATCTCTTGGGTTATTCAACCACCGGTTGGTTTCAACAGTTTGTTTGTAACTGGCTCTAATGTAGAATATTGGTTTTGATAGACTCCATGCGTGTAACCAACTACAGTACATCACACCTGGCCTCGCTTCACAAAGTGAGCTTAGCACTATGGCCGTCTTAGATCTACGTTAGAGTGAGTGAGTGAGTAGGGTTTAAAGCCGCTTTTAACAGTATTCCAGTTATATCACGGCGTGTCAGCTTAATGTGGGAGGAAAGCCCGAAGTGATGCAGGTCTCAGACGTTTACCACCTCGGTGAAACCCACGAGCACGGGTATGGTGCTGACAAACCTAGAAACATAATCGGGGCGAACCGGGATTCGAACCCACAATCATAGGTTTCTGGCGTGCCAAAGGGACGCGACTCTGCACAGCGAATCGCGGCGCCTTAGACGACTGGGCCACCCGTGCCCCCTCTACGTTAGAGAATGACGACAGTCGTAGCTTGACGATCCCTTTGTGAAACCGGACCCTGTCCTGCTTCCACTTCCTTTAGAATTTAGTTTCTTTTACCAAATAGGTATTGGCATAAAATATTGTGGTTTTGTGGACATGTCTCTCTGTTTTAAATGTTTAGAAGTCTTATTGGAACCAGGCGTTTCGACCAGACGTTTGTTCAAGGAAGGATAAGTGTCTTTCGGTGCATTGGATCTGGGCGTTTATTCGTGGACTTACGGTATTCCGTGAAAACGACCCTGCAGCTAATGCCGGTTACGCAGCTACGCGTGTTGCCTTATTGATAACAACAATGACACTATCCCGCGAAGGGCTAATCACCGCACGGCCATCTTTGATCAAAGGAGAGTGACTTTAAATTACAGGGGTTTGCTCTCGTGGGACGTTAGGTGTAAATTATGACCAGGAAATTTGCTCATATGAAAATTTAATGCCTCCACAGAACAATGGTCGTTCCTACACACTCTACGGTTGAGAATTAAAGGGGCTTGTCGTTGTGATGTATGTTTGAAACTGTCACCTAAAATACCCTGTTCAAAGACGTTAAATTAGCCTGATCTCGATGTTTCGTGTTTCCCAGTAGTCCGGATTATTCAGGTTAATGTTTATCTGTTAAAAGTCTTTGTCCTTATAATGTTGTTAGTCGGACTATTGGGTAGCTATAGAACAATGCACAATGGGTATTTCAAAAAGAAGAATCATAAAATTCGAAAGGTGCGTGCGTGGCGCGTTCGCCCACGCGAGGCGTTTGTGAGTGGGGTGGTGGTGGTGTAATTTCAAATATATATTTTAAACTTTGAAATTTATATATAACGTCGATTTAAATTCTCAAACATTAAATATTATACCATGAAATGTTGAGGATGGGGTTGTATTTTCCGTATTTATATAAACATAAAACTCTGACAGATATGTCGTCGGATCATAGTTTTTCGGACATCTTACGTTTTCGGACGGCCATGGTTATCGCGATTACTCCCGCTATAACAGACATTGTAAATACTTAGATGATGACGTGTTTTTAAGTTAAAAGTCGTCTTTCATAAATGAGGGAGATGTTTAACAGTTGTTATTGTGATTAACAAAAATCTTACAAATGTTTCTTAAGCGTCCGAAAAGCCATAACACGGGGATATGCCATATACAAGTGCGGCTTAAAGTCAATCAGTCCATTCCGACTACTACAAAGACGCCGACAATCACACCTTGTCGTCAGGAGGACAGGAGGTCTCAACAAGGAACACTTAGGCCCATCAACACCTCGCGACGCCGTCAGATGACGGTGTAAATGACGCGCAATGTCCGGTCACCGCTGGCGTTAATGTCTTTGCCAACGACGTAGCCACCTGCGTTGCTGTTGTCGTAAACACTTGAGGTCCTCGTGTGGTCAGGTGTGCCGGGAAATGACATCGGGTGGGTAATGTTTCCGCCATTGTCATTGTGTAAATGTATGTCGCACAGGAAACACGCAGTCGTTTAAAACCAGTTTGTGGCGAAATTGCCCTTCAGGACAAAGGTCTTCATTCGTTGAACACGTGTGTTTATAGTAGAGGAGATTGCTTCTGTATAGAATTCCGGAGAAATGACCAGTAAGTGGGTCTAATGCGGTGTTTAGCAATATCTAGAATGGCCAAGCTGAGGCAGTCAAGGATGAGCTTCTTTTATTGTAACAATAAGACCATCTGAATCGGGTTTCGGCAGTGCAGACAACGGTTTAACAGCTAGTGAGTGTGTGAGTGTGCTTGTACTAGTCTGGGCTAATGCCGATTTTATAGTTCTAGCCCAATGAGATACCATGCCACAGTTTAACATAAATACCCCGCTGACACAGTATTCTGAATTCGAGCCGACCAGTCCTAGGTTTAGCCCCTTAATGCCGTGCGCCAGGCAGGGTAACAACAAGTACCATCTTTTAACGTCTTGTGGTATGACAGGACCGGGCGGACGCTCTACCACTAGACCACGGAGGCGGTCTAACAGCTAGTGAGTGAGTGAGTGAGTGAGTGAGTGAGTGAGTCGGACGTGTGAGGACAAACCTGAGTGATGCAGTTAGTGATATATCTTTAGTGGCGAATGAATCAAGGTTTGTATCATAATAGAATAGAGATACAGGATTATCGAGGATGTAGTGTTTTTTATTCACGTCTGTGTAATACGTCCCCGAGGAGGGTCTACAAGAAAGTCTGTCAGGTTCCGTTCATTATAGCTCTGCCAACTAAAAACCGTCCAATCAAATTATAGTAAAAAGCGAGAGAAATTCTGTGCCAATTTAGTGATAAGAAAGGTATAGATGGTGACGTCATTTCCAAAACTGAGAATTGGTGCGAATGAGTGCAGGTATTATCATACTAGAATGGAGATAAAACACCTGGATAATCGAGGATTGTTTTGCTGTCTGTGATTCAGCTGTGTGATGCGAACCCTGGAGGAGGGCCCTACAACGACTGTCTGCTCCGGTCTCTGCAGCCGTCATGGCGGTCTATTGAACAGTGCCGGGCTACTGTTATGGGACACTCATGCTGTGCTAGGGGGCTTCGAGAGTAATCAGTTGTTTGGGCGCTTTATGAGTCTTTCAGCGTTTGATGATGAAAATATGGGAGAATATCGATATTGCTAGATTATGTTGTC